TCTCCGTTGCAGGCTCTCCGTCACGGAGTAGTTAAAGCGTGGTATCATTTGGTTCAGCAGGTCTCGCCCCAGGTGATAGGGGCATAAGTAGACATGTTCAAGCTGAGTGCCCAGGTGGATCTTCCTGTTTGTAGCTGAAAGTGCCAGAGCCCTCTTACCATGCGTCTGGTTGGCTTGGCGGTCAGGCTCTGCCCCCTATGCAGGCTTTTTAATGCAAACACACTGCCTTTTGCAGCACAGGTGTTGGCCCATATGGCAGATCATATGGGTGGGGCATTGTGATGTCACATGATGGGCAGAGCAAATGGGGGGGCGACAAATTTTTGTTTTCCTAGGGCGGCAAAAATCCTTGCACCGGCCCTGGCTCTATCCACCAAGTAACATAAAATCATAATCAGCCCTCAGTACCTTATAATCTAGTCTGTCTATTTAGGCAGTAGTTTTGCTCCTCTCTACAACAACACTAAATGAATATGCCGAGAACTGCTTCCCTGATGCAGTCAGCTGATGTTCCCCTGGTGGACCCCAGGTAAGAGTCTTATCATTCTAAAATGGTTCAACTAATTACAATAAGCTAATTCCTGTACCGGTGGACTTAGCTCAGACAGAGAGATAGTTACATAGTTACATAGCTGAAAAGAGACTTGCGTCCATCAAGTTCAGCCTACCTCACATTTAATTTTTGCTGTTGATCCAAAAGAAGGCAAAAAAACCCAGTTTGAAGCACAGTTTTGCAACAAGCTAGGAAAAAAATTCCTTCTTGACCCCAGAATGGCAGTCAGATTTATCCTTGGATCAAGCAGTTATTACCCTACATTGAAAGATTATATCCTTGAATATTCTGTTCTTGCAAGTATGCATCTAGAGTATGCATTTTACAGTAAAAAAACCTCTCCTTTGCCTTAGACGAAATCTTCTTTCTTCCAGTCTAAACTCATGTCCTCGTGTCCTATGTAAAGTCCGGTTTGTGAATAGATTTCCACACAATGGTTTGTATTGGCTCCCGAATATATTTGTATAATGTTATCATATCCCCTCTCAGGCAACGTTTTTCTAAACTAAATAGGTTTAAATTTGTTAACCTTTCTTCGTAGCCGATATGTTCCATTCCTTTTATTAATTTTGTAGCCCGCCTCTGCACTTTTTCTAGTGCCATAATATCCCTCTTTAGAACAGGTGCCCAAAATTGCACAGCATATTCAATATGGGGTCTTACCAGTGATTTATAAAGAGGCAAAATTATATTCTTGTCCCGAGAATGAATGCCCTTTTTCATGCATGACAATACCTTACTGGCCTTGGCCACTGCTGATTGACATTGCACATTGTTGCATAGTTTGTTGTCTATAACAATTCCCAAGTCCTTTTCATGTGTTGTTATCCCTAATTCGCTTCCATTAAGGGTATACGTTGCTTGTGTATTCTTTACGCCGAAGTGCATACTTTGCATTTTTCAACATTAAATTTCATCTGCCATTTGAGTGCCCAGTCCCCCAGTCTATCTAAATCCCTCTGCAGCAAAGTAATATCTTGCTCACATTGTATTATTTTACAAAGTTTTGTGTCATCTGCAAACACTGAAACATGACTTTCAATGCTGTCTTCAAGATCATTTATAAACATGTTAAATAGAAGGGGTCCCAGAACAGACCCCTGAGGGACACCACTTGCCACCTCTGTCCAGCTTGAAAATGTACCATTAATGACAACTTTTTGTACTCTGTTTTTAAGCCAATGTTCTACCCAAGAACAAGCATTTTCATCTAGACGATTTCCTTGAGTTTGAACACTAATCTATTGTGTGGAACTGTATCAAATGCCTTGGCAAAATCCAAATAGATCACATCCACGGCAACACCCTGATCTATACTTCTACTTACTTCTTCGTAGAACGCAATCAAGTTAGTTTGACATGACCTGTGCTTCATTAACCATCCTGATTTTTGCTGATAACCATGTTCTTCTCAAGGAATTCTTGAATATTATCACTTAATAACCTTTCAAATATTTTACCAGCCACAGAAGTTAAGCTCACAGTGGAGGCTGGGAGCAGCTCCAGGTGCACCCCAGGTAAGTTCAAAAAAGTTTAACTACTTATGATGGGGGACACCAGGGCACCGTGACAATTACATCAAACTGTAGTAATTATGGTGCTTGGAGTGTTCCTGTAAAGCTTCACAATGCTGGCTATTTTTGTATTTTTATAACAATGTCTCATTACATATATTATGCTACAATTGAACTTTGTTCTATTTATTGCAGATGATCTACATATTTTTGTATTGAAGCAGTCAAAACTAGAAAATTAGATCAGAATATCTCAATTCAAAGCATTGGGTATGGACTCAAGAGTGAAGCTAGGCTTAATCCCTCTGACACCTAGAAAACTATTAGCTGCACAGGAAATGTAACCAGTTTATCATGGTCACCACTACTCCAAGCATGCCCACGACTTGGTTCTTAAAAGGATTGAAAATTACTACTTGGTTGCACTGATGCTAAAAATAATGATACAAGATCCCTCTTAATACCATGCACACCCATCAAAGCTATCACAAGGCAATTCATATTGATGGCACAGCACTCTCCTGGTTCTCTAACCGCTCCTTCAGTGTCTCCTTCTCGGATTCCTCCTCCTCTTCTATACTTTTCTAGGTTGTTCCTCAAGGCTCTGTACTGGGACCTCTTTTTTTCTCAATTTACACTGTCTTTCTCTGCGAGCTGATATTTCTATGGCCTTCCTATGGATTTCAATATCTACCTCTCCTCCCATGATCTTTCTCCCTATTTGCTACATCTACAACTGCCTATCCTTTGTCGATGACTGCACAGTTGCTAAAACTCAACCTGTCTTTATTTTTCCTCCCTCTAACACTATATCTGTTACACTTTCCCTTTGGGTCAAGGGAGCTATCATAACCTCTACACCACAGGCATGTTGTCGTTGTGTGCTTTTTGATTCTGTCCTTTTCTTCACCCCTTGAATGAATCCTGCTGCTTTCACCTTAAAAATATTTCTTGCATTTGTACCTCTCACAGAATGCGACCAATATGCTTGTCCATGCTCTTTTTGTTCCCATTCTTGATTATTGTAACTCTGCTTATTGCCCTGAAAAAATATCCAGAATGCCCCTCAGTTGTCTTTAAAGGAGCACTGTAGGGTCAAGAACACAAACATGTATTCCTGACCCTATAGTGTTAAAACCACTATCTAGCCCCCTTTGCCTCCCTAAAGATAGTAAAATCTTACTTGTATTCAAGTCTGAAGCTGCTGCCTCTGCCTGTGAACTTCCTCTGACATCATCAGAACTGGTGGCCTAATCAAATCACAATGCTTCCCCATAGGATTGGCTGAGACTGACAAAGAGGCGGATCAGGGACAGAGCCAACACAATTCAAACACAGACTTGGCCAATCAGCATCTCCTCGTAGAGATTAACTGAATCACTGAATCTCTATGAAGAAAGTTCAGTGTCTGCATGCAGGGGGCGGAGACACTGAATGTTTGGCTGCATTTTAGGCAGCCATGACCCAGGAAGGATCTCTAATAGCCATCTAAGGAGTGGCCAGTGAAGTTATCACTAGGCTGTAATGTAAACATTGCATTTTCTCTGAAAAGACAGTGTTTACAGCAAAAAGCCTGAAGGTAATGATTCTACTCACCAGAACACATTCAATAAGCTGTAGTTGTTCTGGTGACTATAGTGTCCCTTTAATGACTGTCTCTTCCAGACTGATATACCTTACATTCCACAACTGTTAAACCTCACCCCTCTATCAGTCTCTACTCTGGCTTTCAGTTTTGATTAGGATTCAGGTCAAAGTTCTTGTGCTTACTTACAAACCTCTCCATAACTGTGCCCCTACTTAATAGAATATAAAATATTTATATAACAATTCCAGCCAATAATTTTTCAATAAAGATTTCCTGATTAAAGAATGGAAGCATTAAATTGCCATTGTTCTTCAATGAGAATTTTGGAGTCAGTTACAGACTATATGAAAAGAATTGAGTAATACTATTTATTTCCATTCAAAGAAACATGCTAGGCTTGTAGCGATTATGATGCCAGGAATGCCCTGACGCCCACAACTAATGTAAGTAGTTAAAACATGTCCTTATGTTTGATTACACACTTGGCCTCTGCTAGTAACTTCCTTCACTGAGAGTCAGAATCTCCAGCACAGATATTCCATTAGCTCTCTTAAACTAGGCCCAGACCTGCAGGTCTAGCTCTCTGGCTGAGAGGGCTGCTCTCAGCGAATGAGCTAAGCCCTGCAACCACTGGAGGAATGGAGGAAGTTAATGGCACCCGACAGACCCCTGGTCAGTTGACAAACATAAGCAATTGTTTCCTTTTGACTTAAAAGATTCTAGTAGATTATATCTTATCCTGCATTTTTAACACTTTTTGCACTAATATTAAATTGTGCATGTCTGATGTGGGGTACTGCAATTAAAAAAAAAAAAAATCAAGTTTGTGTTTGGCTACAATGCCCCACCTGTCTAATGATCGCTATGTAACATTAGTAGAGAAGAACAGTATTGTAATAATCTTTTTTACCACTATGTTTTTTTTTTTTGTCAATCTTTGTTTATTGGTTTGTTTTTGTTTTTTTCCAAGGTTAGTTAGAGATACAGAAATAAGAAAGAGGGAAACATAGGAATAACATTAGTTATAATACATCATTTTGAGGAATAATAACCTTTAAGGAGCTTCCACTTTGCAATATGTACGTAATGGTTTTTGGATCACAGTGTAAGTTCTTATGGTAGTAAAAGGATCACATATAGGTGGGCCATTTCGCACAACCACAAATTATCCTGTTCTCTTAGGCCCACTGCATTGCATTTGAAAGGTAGCTTAAGTATAGCGGCATTATAATCTCATAGTAGTGCTGAGGTGCCTGGTCTTTTCATCCCAGGATTTCCCTTGTTATTTCCCCATGTATGCTACTTTCAATGCTTCAATACTTTAAAAAAAATAATAATAATTTAGCGGGAATCCCGGTGTTGTGTGGGTCACGGGAGTAGTCTGACCCTCTCAACTAAGTCTCTCCTTTTGTCCCCCTGTGTTGTCATTTGTATGAATTATACCCTTAGGAGGGGTCATGAAATTATTCCTGTCTTATATGAGAGTGGTGTGAGTACCTCCAATCTGTGTGCCCTAGAGGATAGCCCCTAGCGTGAGTCCAATGTGTATATCGCCCACATATCCAGTAAGTTAGGCGCATGAGGGAGAGTGAAATATAGTGCTAGTTCCATTTAATTGCCTACTGATATTGGTGTGTCAGCCTTGGCTGGAGGGACAAGAAAGGTAGGTGAACAATATTAGGCAAGTATAGTATGTTAGATCTGCTGTAGGTAAAAGGAGGAGAAGAAAGAGGATAAAAAGAAAGGAAGGAGAGAGAGAAGAGGAGGAGAAAAAAGGGGGGAGGAGGGATAAAGTAGAAATAAATAATATGTAGGGGGAAGGGATAAAAGGGGATAAGTTGGACTGCGCGACCCTAGTCCCGTAGGCTGCTCCTGTCCACCTCGTCTCATGCACATTAGGAGCCAGTGTCTCCCAGTAGGAGACGTTTCCATCCTCTTACTCAGTAGGTTGATTGCCAGGTTCGTCTCTTGTGCACAGGTAGTACGTTCACCTCCACTCCAAGGACTTTTAGAAATCTGAAAAAATTTAACTTAGCTTTTATTCAGATTGTTGCCAGTAAAAAGATCAACGTTTCAGTTCCAATGTAAACTTTCTTTATATATGTATATAGCGAGATAGAGAGCTGGAGAGATGAAGCAGATTTCACACCTAGATCAGACCGTGATCTACATGCCAAAACCACTGTTTTTCCCTCAGATTCATTAACCACTCTTATATACCTCTGCATTAATTATATATGTTAACAATGAAGTAATCCACAAAAGTCTTGTGACTCTCAATGCAGTCGTGTGGTTACCATCAACAATATTCACACAAACGGCGAAAAATAGATATGAGAAATAAAGAAACCGTACAGATATATACAAGTAAATCACCCCTTACGATGTTTATATACGTAAGGGGTTATTTACTTATATACATTTTTATATATATATATATATATATATATATATATACACACAGTTATTATGACAATAGTTAGTAAATCTTTTCACAATTTGTCTTTTAAAGGGTTTTCCAAGATCAATTCACCATTGGTATTCATGCTTACATACTTATATATCAAAACTATAGTACTTAACAGCACACCATGGATGTATGTAAATACCGCCCCCAAGGCAGATGGCTTGTTAGCACTGATCTCTGTGCTCTCTGACTCTGCTCTCTCTGCTGTTATGCAAGGATCCGTAATATGATGTAACTTCGGCCCGGCATCACTAAATGGCACGGAAAGGTGCAAAGCAAGAAGATTACTTCTCCCTTGCTGCCTCCATTGTGCATACACCCGCCAGGCAGTCACAGCAGCCATATTGGACCCCAATAAAAGCATCCACACTGTACTCCAGGGAAAGAATCCACTCCAGCTCTCCCAAAGGTAGGGAGGCTGGATGGACTTAAATAAAAATGTTAAAAAAATATATTTTGTGAGTAAAAATGTGAGTGAGTAAGTATCAGTGTTTGTGTGTCTGTCGGTGAATATGTGTATCTGTCAGTGAATACGTGTGTGTATGTCAGTGAATGTGTGTGTGTGTGTCTGTCAGTGAATGTGTCTGTCACTGAATGTGTGTGTCTGTCCCTGAATGTGTGTGTTTGAGTAAGTGTGTAACTGTCAGTAAATGTGTGTGTCAGAGGGTGAAAAATCAATGAAGATGGGTGTGTCTGTGAGTGTGTAAGTGTGTATCAAATCAGTGGTTGTGTGTGAATGTCAGTGAATGTGTGGGTTTGCCAAGAGTGTGAGGTGAGGATGTGGGTATGTTAGCATGTATCCAGGGCCGGCGCCCTGTGAGTGAGTGTGTGTGAGTGTATGTCTGTCAGTGAGTGAGTGTGTGTCTGTCAGTGATTGAGTGTATGTATGTCAATGAGTGTGTCTGTCATTGAGTAAGTGTATGTATGTCAGTGAGTGTCTGTGAGTGTGTCTGTCAGTGAGTAAGTGAATGTCTGTGAGTGAGTGGATGTCTGTCAGTGAGTCTGTGTTTGAGTGTGTGTGTCTGTCAGTGAGTGAGTGTCTGTCAGTGAGTGTGTGTGTGTCTGTCAGTGAGTGAGTGAATGTCTGTCAGTGAGTTTGTGTGTTTGTGTGTGTGTGTCTGTGTGTTTGTCTGTCAGTGAGTGAATGTGTGATCTTTGCCTAGGGCAACAGAAATCCTTGCACCAGCTCTGCATGTGTGTGTCAGTGAATATATGTCAGTGTTTATGTATCTGAGAGTTTAAGATTGTATGTCTGTCAGTTAGTGTATGTTAGTTTATGTGTATCAGTGAGGGCATGTGTCTGTCAGTCAAAGTGTTTGTTGGTCTTAAACAGGAGGAGGTGTGACCTTGACAGGAAGGGATGGGGTAACTTTAGATTGGGGGGGTGCCCGAGTTTAGTCATACTTAGGGCAGCACAAAAACAAAATACACCACTGCACTAGATTTTATATATAATAGCATTGTATGTTCTGCACATTACAACTTAAACATATTTTGTTCATCCCCTCTCCCATTCCAGGTGTGTATTTGCTTCTTCAAATACCATAAGTAAAGGCTAAAAATGGACAGGCCTGCTGATAAAAGCAAAAAGTAAATAAAGTCTGGTTAGATATGCTATGAAAGTTATAGTTCCTCGTTTCCACACGTCTCTAGATATCTTCTTGGGTTCCTATACTCATTGTAAAAAAAAAATTAAAAAAAATCTAATGTCAAAAAATAAAAAATATTTATTAGGGTGAAAACATTTATTGAACTGGGACCATATGTGACAAAGAATTGTTCCCTTAATCTTGACCTTAAATTTGAAATTCACTTTGAATTCACCTTGAATTTTTACTTTAGTAAATAACTCTGAGACTTTAATTGGTGCAGCACAAGTGTGTCTAATTATACAGTCACAGTGCTGATTGGTGACATTTATTGGTGTCCCCAAATGCGGGACATCAGGGAACAAACCTGGGTCTGCGAGACATGTTTTGTTCTTGTCATCGGTTAGAAGCAAACACTTCATTAGCACAAATTAGGACAAGACAATGAAGTTTTGTTGAACATTATGCCATGCCTCGTTTCATTTAAATAGGCAGAACAAGTTCCTCTGAATTAAATTATGAATTAAATTAAAATTATGGGAAATGTGTAATTTTTATTTTTTTTTCCTTCCGCCAAGGTCCAACACAGGCATCTGTCTGTCTGTGTCCATCCATCAATATAAAATGTTCATATTTAAAGGGACACTCAATCAATATTTAGGCGTATACAGAGAGAATGCCATACATTTAGTGGTGTCGCCAACTTGAGTTGCACTGTACCATATTAATAAATAATAATGTAACTGTGTAGGGGGAGGATGAATAAGAACAAAAGAAGACTCCCTGCACATTTGGAGTTTCAATTTTTTTAGCCAGGGACACACATGTCCCAGCTGGACCACATTTTTTTTTTATTATTTCTCTAGCATGCCATGTGATCTGTGCATCATTTCCTTGTGCAGTTGCTTTTTGAACTGCTTGTATCATTTGTGAAGTCGATGGTACTCTCTTGGATTTCCAGTGTTTTGCACTGTATGTTTATGGCTGTGGTAAGAACATGAAGAGTCAGTGGTATATGGGCTGGAGGTATGACCTCAGGCAGCATGCCTAGAATAAAAAATGTTCTCAGCACCCCTCTCTGGTAACACCCCCTCATCCATGTATAGTGTATGTCTATAAAGGTGTAGTGTTTGTATGGGGGCTTTATTAAATAAATTATTATTAAAAAAACAAAACAAATATTCTTTCCCTTTCCCTGTTGTTACATTGCAGGGAGGGGGGCATGTTGCTCTCTGGTGGTCCAGTGTGCTGGGAATCTGGTCTGCGCCTCTGCCCGATGCAGACCATAAGTAACTGTCTCTCGAGCTCAGGCACTTACAGTGTCAGAGCTTTGCTGTGGTAATCTACGGCAACGTTCTGATTGGCCAGAGCTCAGAAGACAGCTATTCATTCTATGCAGCCAACAGAGTTGCAGACAAGTGGTGCCAGACTGCCTCCCTGGCATGACAGAGGACAGACTGTTATGTGCCGCTGTCACATAATATTGTAAGCCATTTGCATTGGAGCTCTGTATTTTCCATATTTACCTTGACCTCTTTGGTGTAAAAACTCACAGTAATGAGCTGTGTTTATCTATTTATCACTGAGAGAAAAAAAAAACCTCACAATACTTTGAGGTGTGTACCAGTTTATAAAAGAACTCTGCCAATAGTAAAACTTTCAGTGATGTGGAGTGTATTAGTATGTCACAGAGCTCCACAACAATACAGCTCCCATGTAATGCCTATAAGTGGCATACTAATGGAAGGGGGTTTCGCCCCAGTTGCCACTCATTACGGGAGTGCCATTTAAGGGCAGACTGAGTGGCACTGTGTCCCGAGGGGTGGGGGGGGGGGGGCGGAGGGAATTTCCAGGTGACCAGCAGGTGGGTGGGACGGACAAAAGAAGGCCACAGGAGTGTAAGGGGAGAAAAGAATGGCACAGGAGGGAGGGAAACAAAAGAAGGGCAGAAGAAAGGAGGTGTCAAAAGAAGGCCACAGGAGGGGAGGGTGCAAAAGAAGAGCACAGCACAGGTGGGGGGGCAAAAGTAGGGCACAACAGAGGTGGGAAGACAAAAGAAGGGCACATGAAAGGAGGGGCAATATAAAGGTACACGAGGGGAGAGGGGCAAAGAAGGGTACAGGAGGAGAGGGCACAAAAGATACACACAGAAGGGCTGGGGGGAAAAGACACAGAGGGGCTGGAGGGGACAAAGAGAGACACACAGAGTGGCTGAAGGGAGACAAAGAGACACACAGAGAGGATGGGGGAAATGAAATACACATGAGGGGCACATAAGTGGCTTGGGGCACAAAGTGACACACAGAAGAGCTAAGGGCACAAAGAGAAACACAGAGGGGCTGGGGGAACAAAGAGACACACAGAGGGGCTGGGGGAGGACAAAAACACAGAGTGGATTGGGGTCACAAAGAGACACATAGAGGGACTAGGGCAAACAGACACACACAGAAGGGCTGGGGGGACAAAGAGACTAACAGAGGGGCTAGGGGCACAAAGAGACATACAGACGGGCACAGAAAAGGCACTAGGGGTGTACATTAATCCTTTAAATGCTGGAATGTCTGCCAGTTTCTCATTAACTCTTTCAGTGTTGGAATTTTGGTCAGTCTCATATTAACCCTTACACAGTTCCATGTGTGAATTTTTGCAGTGTCACATGTTCATGGTCTCACAATCAGAGTTATACTCACACTCAAATACTCAAATATAGCCACATGCACATTGTTACAGGCAGACAGTCACACACATAGTTACAGGTAATCAGCCACACATATAGGTAAATGCAGACAGCCGCACACAGTTAGAGGCAGATAGCATGTTACAAACA